TTGTGATTACTTGTTTCATTGTTTTATATGGTAAAAATGGCATTGCTAATTTTTGTGGTATTGTTGCATATGTGGTTAGTTTTGTATCTATACGACCTGCGCAAGCTAAACCGAATGTTGATATTTGACCAATATTTGGCATGAATATGACTGTATGAGATCTAAATCAAAATAGTAAAATTTTCATTGCTATTATATAAGATTAGAGTTGAGTATAAATCTATTTAAAATTTCTAAAATATGTAATTCACAGTAGATAATACTATAGTCTTAGCATCTTGTTCAACACTATGGAATGTAGGAACTACTTAATTAAAGAAATAAGACTTTTTCTAAGGGTTGATCAGGTTAGTTTAAGCTCATATTGAAAATACCTTTGATATAAATTTCTGTAACTCAATAGGAGGTATTATTTGACACCTACATGAAATGTTTTTATTAAAGATTTGAAAATAGATTAAGGATTGTATTTATGTTATTAATAATAAATAGATTTCTATCGAAATTTTTATTTTGTACTTTTTTCGAAAACGGAAAATGTTTTGTTGTTAAGTAAAAAATTGTTTGTTGATGTAGATGACTAATAGCAATATATTTAAAGAAAAAGAATAATCTTGTTGCCCTTATACAATTACATATCTTTGAGAAATACAAAAAAAGAAAATATGGTGTATGTCGTGTAGAGATGTACGAAATTAAGTGTTTTTATTTGATTGCATTAACTTTTTCTCTTATGAATCTAATTGCATACATTTCAAGTCATTCAAGATGTGTATAGTTAATTAATATGGATTACGTTCGTTTACATTTGTTAATAAGTTTTGATGAAATAAAATAAGAATGGTCTCGAAAAAAAAATGAATTTCATTTTTCTATTATTTCTTTCTAAAAATAAATCGTTTCTTATATAAAGAAATTATTAAAATCCAAAGTACACTTTGATCATTGACGTAGCCGATAACAAAACAAAAATTATGAATAAGTATTTATCTAGAAAGACATACCTTCCACAAGCTATTTGTGAAACTTCTGAACCCATTAACTCAGATATTTTTCTTGGTAGAAGTTCATCATTGGTAGAATTATGTCCAAGTTGTCCATGTGAACTAGATCCAAATGAAAAAACACCTCCTTCAAGTGTAATAACAACTGAATGTTTTTCTCCACATGATGCATAGATAACTTTTTGTTGTTGTAATGATTTAACATTACTTGGCCATACACGAGAATCAGTATCACCTAAACCTAATTGACCTGATCTATAAAATAATATTTTCGTCATTCAAAAGAAAGAAATCAATAAATATTTTCTTCATAAATACTTACGTATTAAGACCACATGTGAAAACAGTTCTATATAAAAGAAAATTTTAATTTTATAATTTATAATTTATAAAAAAAAAAGACATATTTTCGAATTTTTACTTACCCACTTTTTGATATAATCAACGAATGATGTGCACCACAAGCTATAAAAACAATAGGACTACCTCGAAGACATACTATTGGAGTTACACGAACACAATCATGATTATGTCCTAAACCTAATTGTCCATGGGCATTAACTCCTGCTGCGTAGACTGTTCCATCCTAAACATAACTAATTATATTTATAGATGCATTCTTTAAACTTACATCAGTTAAGCCAAGACAATGAGTATATCCTGTAGCTATTTGTATTATTCGTTTTTCAATAAACCCTCCCAAATACCTAATTGGCAAACAATATATATATGCTTACTCATTATTACAAAAAATAAAGAAATATAACCTTACTCAGGTTTTTCATAAAAAAATCCATCATCATTTGTTATTTTTCCACTAATTGATCCCCAAATAACTATTTTTCCATTTGACGTTAAACAAAGTGAAAAATTTTGTCCACATGCTACTTGAACAGCATTAGCCTGTTGAGGTAATGTAACTTTTTCTGAAATAAATTCAAATAAAAATTTTAAACAAAACAAACGATATTTTCATGTCAAAATCTCACCAGGTAAAGTCGTTCGACCCTCTCGACCTAATTGTGAATATTCATTATTTCCTGCTGTATAAACACTTCCATCATCAAGTAAAAATACTGAATGTGTTAATGAAGATGCAACTTGTATACATGCATAATCATTAAAAAACGGTATACGTTGTGGTGTAGGAATAAAACTTGTTACTGCTGATGGACCTAAACCAAGTTGACCATGGGCATTAATACCCCACCCAAGCATTATATTAATTAAAAGGTAAATGCACGGAATTGAACCTGAAAATACGACAGCTACAGAATGAAATAAAAATTTTCTAGAAAAAGAAAAGAAAAAGACTAAAAAACATTTCTTTCATTTTATTGACTTTCTTGCAAAAGTTGCGTATATTATTTGTTCTATGCTCCAGCTGACTTACAGTCTTTTGCTAATCCAAAGAAACAAACCAACCAACAAACAAAGTCTTACATTGACAGAAAAAGATGGCGTAAGAATATTGTTAAAAATAAAAATTTAATCAACATATTATTATTCAAGTCTTCTTTTTTTTGTCTACAAATAACTCGAGACAATGCTACNAAAAGAAAAGAAAAAGACTAAAAAACATTTCTTTCATTTTATTGACTTTCTTGAAAAAGTTGCGTATATTATTTGTTCTATGCTCCAGCTGACTTCCAGTCTTTTGCTAATCCAAAGAAACAAACCAACCAACAAACAAAGTCTTACATTGACAGAAAAAGATGGCGTAAGAATATTGTTAAAAATAAAAATTTAATCAACATATTATTATTCAAGTCTTCTTTTTTTTGTCTACAAATAACTCGAGACAATGCTACTTGACGTCGTATTACAAAATTATCGAAATGATATACACATAAGAAAATAAGCATTTAATTTCTATTTCTATTTTTTTTAGAAAACTAATCGATCGATATATATTCAATTGTAACTTGAGTATTTTTGCGTTCTGTGTTTTTTCTTTTCTTTCAAACATATTTCAATTATGACTGTTATTTATTGGTGATCATGATTAAGGTAATTTATTACCATTGCATTCTTAAAGATCTCTATTGCTACTATATATAAAATGCTTATTGTATTTGTATTTTTAAGTCACAACAAAAATTACAACAACATCATATAATGACTGCAATCATCATGTAAAGAAACTTTGAAAAGTATCTCACTTTTATTTTATGAATAGAGCCATAAGCCGATGTATTAATTGGCGGTGATGGGAAAGATTTAGTTTTTTTGGCTTTCAGCGACGGTTGAAAGTCTTCCGTGTTTTTCTTTTTCATGATTTTATTAGTTGAGGGAAATTTTCAAATGAAAATAACAATAAAAAAGAGAATGTAATGATTAAAAAAAACCTACACAAGAACATTCCTCAGAACGAATCATAGGTGTTGACATTTTCTAAAAATGTAATATCTGTTTTTATGTTATTACAGCGACAGCTGGCGGCTGGGTTAATAGAGTGTTGGTGGTAATGGCTCAGTTAATTGACTTATACCTTTATTTATAAGAGTTGTGCTTCATTAAAAACACATTCATTACCATTAGCTAGTAAACAAGCTGAAGGATTTTGTCAACATATCGAACAGCAATATAATGCATTATAGCGAAGTGAAATTTTTCATTGTTATTATATTGAGGATTCCTCTAGCATTGCGTGAGAATATGAACAACGTCAAAGTACTAATGAGAATACATAACGTTCTAAAAAAAATTTATTAATATGTTTATCTATATATATATATATTTATAAGTACATATTTTATGTGATCAGTTGAAAAGGAAGAAGAAATTTTCAATTTATTCTAATGGAAAGCTATTAGCCTAATCCCTGTAGAATTAAAATATGAAACACGATGTAGTTGTTGTTGCTAATTACAGGGTGACTGTTATATGCTATCTAGTTTGGAACAAACTTGCTCACCATCTCTTTATTTAATCTTCGAGAAATGCAATAAAGAAGTAGTTCATGTCTTAGAACAAGACTTTATTGATATATTATCACAGACTGTATATCAATAATGTCTGTCGCAATCTGTGAAAGAACTTTCAAATTTTTATTTCTATACTTCAACATTTCTTTTAAACCATATTTCATGAAAGATACTTCATCTTTCGCCTACTGTTACTGATTTAGGATACTGCTAAGAAACTATAGATTACGATAAAAAGTCTGTGTGTCACAGAGCTTTTCTCGTTCATTAAACTACTAATATGCACTCAATATAACTATGCCAGTCATCTCCAGAAAAAATGTCACGAAAATAAATTATAGCAGTCAAAATATAGAAAGTATGCTAACGAACGAGTGATTCGAGGCAATCCTCGTGAATAACTTGCTCAAGATTTGCGCGTTACTAGATGACGCTGACGTTCAAACACAGTATCTTCGATATGCATGACAAACAAATATCATATCCATTCACTCATGACTAGTCGAAAAAGAACAGCTACTTTTATATAGTTCTCCTGTCAGAATATTTTCGATAATAGACTTGCTGACTTTTGCTTATGTATACATTTTTGATCTGTTTGATAAACTTTTCTGTGCATTGTGAATAATTTAAAATTTTTTATTTCGATTTTGAAAACTTAGCAATAAAATATAAATGAAGAATAAATGAATTCCTTTGATTGATTTCAAAAATAAGAAATCATGCTTCTGCATAAGACCAAAAATTAAAACATAATTATATAACACTTTAAATTGATTATATTCAGTATATACCTTCGTCAGAATGTAATATTTACATTTTTTTTTCTCATTACCACAATGAAATGATATGTCTCTTACTTTTTTTTTTATGTTAATTATTGTGATCATTTCACACACCTGAGTTAATTAGTCATGTAAAGAGAGAAATGTAAAAAATCGAAAAATTGTCTTTAGCACCACCTCATTTTTTTTTTACAAGCACCTTTTTATGATTCATTCAACCGTGTCGATTATGTCTCTTATATGATGTTTTTCTTGCAAAATACATTGCAAATAAGATCGTTACGATGATGACGAACATAGAATTCGATGAAGATTCTATTTCCGACTTTGGATCTTCAATAATTTCAAATACAAGTGGGAATAATAATACTAATTGTTCTGGTAATAGAAAGCGGCCTCGAAAATTACAAGATTCACTAAAAAATCTACAAGCAAGTCGTGGATCAAAATTCAATAAAAAAACTGAAAAATATAATTCAGTATCATCTTATGAAAGTCATACATCCTTTTCATCTACTAGTACTAATACATCAAAAACATATTCATCAACATTAACTAGTAAACAAATTGAAAATTTTCGTCAACGTATCGAAAATGAATATAATGAATTACAGAGAAGTGAAACAAGTTATTTTTATTATATAAATGATCAGTCTGCCATGTTACGTGCACGTAAAGCACTTGAACAAGCTACTAATGGTAAATTCAATTATAAAAATAATTTTCAAATTGATAAATATATATTTTTTTTCTATATCTACATAGGAACTTTTTTTGTTCGATCAGCTGAAGAAAACGAACGAACTTCAAATATTGAATATTTCCTTGATTTTGTTTCTCACAAAGAAATTGTCGAAGTACCGATATGTTGTGATAAGGAACATAGAACATTTTGGTTTCTCTCCGGTGAGTACATAAAACATATGTTGAAAAATGAAATTTTTAGTATAAAAACTTTCGTACAAGAAAATTGAACACTAGGAATAATCAGCACAATCATTGTTTAACATCAAGAAAAATTAACATAGAATATTAAACTTATTTAATATAGACAGTAATCTATGACATTTGCATATAAAAATGGATCAATAAATAATAATTAATAGTCTTAGCTAGATACAATTATTAGGTATTAACGCATACAATGAACGTATTCAATCTTCTATAAGATTGACCAATACTGTGAAAGTCTATCAGCGTTCAATTAGATCAGTGTTCTCAAATATATATCTAACGTTGTCTGTATTTTTTTTTTAAATTAATTGATAAAGTAAAGATGATCTACGCTAACATATTACAAATCAATGCTGGACAATCATTAAAAATGAACACCAAGTGACATTTCGAATAACTTTTGTTGAATTTTAGTTTCAGCCACTGTTCGAAATTTCTGGAACATATCAACTCAATCGCTTGTAATATTTCGTTATCATTCGTTTTCTGTTTCATGTCTTCTACATATTCAATAAACCACATATGTATGTTGATTTTTCTTGGTGCTGAGCGTCCACTAACTCACTAGCACTGAATTTTTATGAAAACTTATTATTAGTTTTTCGTATGTCTGCAGACGAAAGATTATTAGAAATTTTATTTATTTTATAAATAATTATCGAACTGTAGGACAATGTAATGAATAATTTCTATTTTCTCTTCAATCTAAATTAATTACTAAGTCTTGTTTTGTTGTTTTATTTCTCAATATAGGATGCGGTTACGGATCTGAAGTAAATCGTCAATATACTGGTATCGATGTACTTATTCAACATAAAAAAGAAAATCATTTTTATGAACTACAATACCCATTTCGAATTTGTCTGTATCGTCCAATTGACCCAAAAATCGCTACGTGTATTTCACTACCTGATGAAGTTCGTGCGATGGCTAGTCAAAATACTATTCTTCACGAATTAGCTACTCAAGGTTTATTACCATATTTGAAGGAACTTATTAAAATATCAAAAAATGATTTTGATCCTCTTCGAGAAAAAGCATTGTTTATAGTAAATAAAATAAATGGAAAAAATAAACAAGGTCGAACACCATTAATATTAGCTATTCTTGCCAAAAAATATGATTTTGTTGAACATCTTCTTGATAATAAAGCTAATATTAATATAACGGATACAGAAGGTTGTTCACCATTACATTATGCATGTCGACAAGGTAATCCTATAATAGTGAAAAAATTAATTGATCGACATGCTGATCCACATTATGTTAATTCAAGGTATAATTTATTTTTTCAATATTTTACATTGTATTCTTTCATCTTGAATATATTTGTAGAAAAACTACAGATGGTAGTAATCAATCGAATCTATCAGTATTTCATTATCTGGCGTTCGTTAAATTCTAAAGATAAATTCTTCCATAATGTTAACTTATTTTCGTTTTAATATTTAGAATGTCGAAGGGAACAACGCAAAAAAATCTCAAACGATGTGCAAGATATCTTTTAGAATGTGGATGTCCTTTAATGCCTTTAACACACGAAGGAAAAACACCATTTGATATTGCTGAAATGTATAATAATGGTGTATACGAATGTGTGAAGATATTTTGCAAAAGATATCAATTCAATCAATTACATCCTATTGAAGTCTCATCTCGTAATGATGCTAAAACTATTTTACGTGATTTAGCTTGTCCTAATACATTTGGAAAAATGCGATTACGTTTTAAACAATGCGATAATAGAAATTGTTTTAAACGTGAAGGTCTTTTCTTATTATATCAAACAAAAAGAACTCGAACCGAACCTAATGGAGAACTTGGCTTATGTGTTCATCATAATGGACAAATATTTGCTTATCCAATCTCACAAAAACATAGCTATACTATGATATATCCATCAAATCCACCAGGAAAGATTCTTTATAAGTTTTCATTAATAACTGACACGCCACAAGATGACCAAACACAAGTGGTACTGTTTAAATCACCTGATGAATTAATTTATAATCATACTAAATACAAAGGTATATTACCAACTTTATTGGAAAGTTTTCTTCGAAAGGAAAATGATGAAATAATAACAATCGATGCTAAAAATCTAATCTTACTTAGTAATCAACCGGAACCTATGTAAGTAACTTTATATATTATCAAAGCATTTGTAGACTGTGTAGAAACATGGTATAGAATACCGATCGATATACTGACATATTTATTCCAGTATGGACTGCTAAGATGAACAATATATATGAGTGATTTCCAACTTTTTAGTACAAATGATGCAAAAAAAAAATAAAAATAGATCTAAACAGTTTTTGAGTAGCACTTGTTTTTCTTGTAAAGCTTTGTATTACTCTCTGACCATTGCGGTCATAAAGGGAGCATATGTTAATTACAGTCATTGCCAGAGGAGTAAAGCGATAAAGAAAATAAAAACTTTACAAAAATGAACACAGACAGAACGAACAGAAATCGATTAGAAAGTTTCTAAAAACTCTACATAGTATAGATGCGCTGGGTTATTCTACATGGTAAACACATCGGTATATCGAACAAAACGTTTTTCTCTATACAGACAACAAAATAATGTTTTCTCTTTCTGATATAAAGACATGTGGGTATTTCGCGATGTATACTCTAGTAGGAAATAACCATTGAGTGACCGTTCATCATAGATAGAAGAAATTATCTTAGCAAAGGCAGTGATATACACGTTTTAATGAAGTCTAGTAAAAAATAATCCAGCCTCAACCGTTTACAATTGTTATACACAATAGCTTGTTTTTTTCGGTTCAGAATGGACTCATAGACTTCTGCTTGAGTCCAGAGGTGAAAAGTTGTTCTTCAGTTTATAATTTGTGATACCGATGGATGATCATTCGGCATTTCTCTTCTCATTAGAAAGCATATGTGGTTTACAGAATGAAGAACAATATTCGAATTAATCATTAGATTATAACAATGCGACAGATTTTTCTAGTAATCATTCGATTTCATAAAATTTTATATGAAAAAAGTTACTGAACACGAACAGTTGACTTCAACAATAAGACATGCATAATAAATTCAATAGATCTTTAGTCGAATTGTTACCGTATCTATACATACTAGTGATGAGCAGAACCACTCATTTTTAGTTGCGGTTTTTGGCTTTCGTCAAAAAAAAACTTGGCTTCAGTTTCAGTGCAAGCGGAACCATCTTACCCATATCTAATACATATTTTCCTTTATTTATTTATAGAACTGATGCTGAAGAATCTGACACAGAATATGAAGAAACCACTACCGTCGAAAACATTAATTCAATTGATCGTATCGATTTAGTTCAAATACAATCAGCAAAAATTCTTGAAGAAAATGAAAAACGACTTATATGGTTAGCAAAAGTTCGATTAAATCATACAACATATTTTTCTATTGTCATCAAAGATTATCTACCTAAGAAAAATATTGATTTATACAAAGAATATCGATTAAAAGAATTAAATAGTCATTCAAGAAATGAAATTACTATTTCTAATGATGAGTCTTCCTTTGAATATAGATCTCGTACTCATCTTGAATATGACTATGAATCAAAAATTTTACTTAAACACCTCAGAAATCATCCTTTAATTATTCATACATTTCTTTTTGGTCATAATTCAAAAAGTAGTTTATGTTTATTTATGGAATATTTACCAATGGGAAATTTAAATTCATATTTAAGAAAATTAGATCCAGACTCATTAGATCCATTAATAGATGCATTTCATTGGATCTATCAATTATCACAAGCTATGGCATTTTTATCAAACAATAAAATAGTTCATCGTGATTTAGCAACAAGAAATATTCTACTTCAAAATGAAAAATATATTAAATTAAGTGATTTTGGTTTATCACGTCGTGAAGGTGTAACACTTGAAGTAAATGATCGTATTGTACCAGCACGTTGGTCTGCACCGGAATGTTTTGATCGAACACAAATAGTTTCATTATCATCCGATGTTTGGTCATTTGGTATTGTAATTTGGGAAATCTATTCATTTGGCGCTATACCATATGAAATCGATATCAATACTAATGCTCCACAAGGAGTTCGTTTATTGAAGCGATTTTTAATTGAACAAGGTCGTCGATTATCACGACCAGAACGGTGTTCAGAAAGTATATATGATTTAATGTATCGTTGTTGGAATGCAAATATTGCTAAGCGACCACGTTTTGTCGATATCATCGATGAGTTAAATGGAACGAATATAAGAAGAGACTGTATAATACCATTTACTCATGAAGAAAGAAAAGCATGGACAATGGCAAAAAACGAGTATCTTAATATTTATAAGTCAATGCAAAACACATCAACTGTTGAAGATCCTTACATAACATTGGATAATAATGAAAATGAAGATATAATACTTTTGTGACAATACTCTGAAATATGAACATTTCGCAAATATTCTAATCAATTTTTCTTTTCAAATTCTACTAACAAAAATTTCACTTTTTATTTTTCATAAAATTCAACATGTATATTCTTCTTTTCGATTAATAGTGGAATTGATATGTGGGGAAAATATTACTTATAGTTCCTAATAGATACATGAAGAGTAGCCCATAAATTCAAAGAATTTTTTCTTTCAAATTCTAATTTAAAAACAAACATTATGTACGGGACTTATCCATGACTAAGAAATGTAAATCAAGAACTATTAATTATGTACTATGAATCAATGTTTACATTCGATCATAAATCGATAATTTTCGTTTGTTTGAAACTTAATTCTAGCCCAGAAGAAATCATTTCAAAAATTTATTTGTAGTAAAAGCATTAAGTTAGACTTTTGAACTTCTGTAGTCTTAACAAAATAATCCAATAAATATCACTGCTGTAAAAAATTGGTTGTATTTCGAGAGTTGATATGTATACAGAATAAGCACGATGTTCGGAATCAGATCAAAAAACAATACAAACTACTCTGTTTTTTTCATTGCAACGTGTTTTCCATGAAAACTTTAGACCTATCCTCTTTCCTCTTCCAGCTTTTTATTCATTGAACTTTTTTCCACTAGTCCTCGACGGATATAATGTCAATGGAAAATATATTTCAGTGAAAACTAGAGTTTTGGGTATATATTTTCAATCTGATTCCGAATATCATGCTTATTCTGTATGTATGCCAATACTCGATAATCAAAATCATATTGATTTCTTTTGCTAACAGAAGTTCCCAAATTGATTGATTGCTGCTTAGGCGGAATTATATGCACTATGTAGATTTTAATATAGCTATGAATAGTCTAAAAATGACTCGTATCCGGAGTCTATTCCTACGGATATACTGCATTCTTACGGTATTTTTTAACGCAATGCCGAAGATGAGGACCATAGCATTGTATAAATGAATATCGTAAAAAATGTAGTATCTCAGCTGTACATAGCTCCAACTTAAAAACGAATAATAAGCTGAAGAACATTCCTTGTAAGACTAAAGATGTCCTATGTCTGGTTTCATACTGTTTCACTGATAATAACAAACATAATTGAACGAGAAAAAAGTAAACAGGAAATAAAATCTATAAAAAAGAGTACCAACTCTTTTCGCTGCCGTAAGCCAGGACCAGAACCAAAGCTGATCTGCACATTTCAACTCATGTCAGTCTTTAATACATCGATAACTTGTATAAAGCTTCATCCTAGACAGTTGCTCTCATAAAATATGATCGATTTTTTAGTATTTAAATCATTCATGCTTTATCAACCTAAAATCAATATTATACTGTGTTGGATTTTTCAAAAAACCGATATTATGATTAATCATTACTCGATTTATCAGATTTTAAGAGTATCGACTAGATTTTTTCGATCTGTTAATCGAGCAGCAGTAATATATATACGTCGAACTATTTCGAGACTTTTTCATCTTTTAAACATACGAGAAAAGAAATACAAAAAATGACACAAAGAAATGATCTTTTCTATTTGAACGAAAAAAAACCATCAACAATATGAATAAAAGAGACAAATTCACTAAGTTCAAGCAAGTCGTTCAAGTGCTTCAATCATTGAAACACTATTTCCTCGTGCAACAACCATACCAATTGGACGTTTTTCACCAGTTTTAAGAGCTTCATAAGCTTCATCAATAACTAAATTCATAAATGGATCAAAGCCACGTAATACACCAATGACCGTTCGATTACCATTTAATTTTAATTGACATCGTTTATCCATAAATTTTTTTAATTCAGGTGGATTGGCTTTGCCTAAAGTAAAAAATTGATTAAATAAAGAAATATTATATTAAATAAAACTCACCACTCATATTGAATTATATAAAAGAAAATTTGTTTAATGAGAAATAATAAATTTTTTATCTGAAAATACAATTAATCATGAATTTAATTTGCTATTTGAAGTACAAAATCAAAAATAAGAACGATTTTTCTAATAAAAAAAGAAATTAAAATTCAAGAAAAAAAAAAGAAATAGTTTTTGTTAGTAAATCGACTTGTAAAACTTGACACGAACTTCATCATTGATTTATTTTAAGATAATGATTTACATAATTTTTTTATTATCTCTTAGCAGTAACTCAAGCTCATTCTAATGAAATTTCTGCTTTACTAAATCAAATTCTATTTATGAAAACGTTATCCATACTCATTTATCTTACATTCGAAAGAGTAATTAAGAAAAAAAATATGCAAAAAGTCAAACAGACGTTTCACAATACTATTATTATGATCGAATGAAAACACGTGGATAGATGTCGCTTGAATACAAGGTTATTTATTGAGATATCTTTATTGTTTATTGAAGATATGCCAATGGTGTCGGCTTTCAGCAACTGACAATGATCTTCAACCAATGCTTTTAATGAGAGTCTGATATAGAATGTACGGGTATATGATATTTTACAGAGTAGTATGTATTCGTACATCTTGTTTCTTAGAGAAAAATCGACAAAAGATAAGTATGATTTCCGATGACCAGACGTTATTTTGAGGGTAGATGAGATCGTAATGGATTCACCTTATTACTGATACTCAACGCTTGCACATACAGTTAAGATTTTATATTTAGAGTTTTATTCGATTTCTACGATATTCTTTTAGAAGATGTTCCACTATGAATATACGCGAGTACATTGAAGCTGAGATTTTTTGAAGTGACATGCATTTCCTAGATATTTTCATCTACTCCCACTCTCATTCTATGCTGTACCATTTAGAAAAACTGAAAACAGCACGCTTTCTTGGGAAAAAAATATCTCAATTACAATACACTGATGCATTCATGGCAGAACACCTGCTAAGTGAATTCTCAAGGCGTTTATAATCTTAATTGCGTTCAATAAATAAACTTTTAAGTATAAAAGTACGAAAATCTCACAAAACAAAGTGTAAAAATGAAATGTGTATTTTCAGTTTCATTCCGGTACCGTACATTTTGTTTTTCGAGCTATACTCTTTCATTAAAACTACTAATCAGATCAGTCAAGTCAAAGTTTTTGATCTGTGTACAGTGCAATATAGATTTTTCTAGCAGAAAAAGCTTGAAGCATAAGATGACGTCATCAGTGATGCCTTTGTCTGTTAACTTTCGTCATGTATAATAGGTGAACAGCAAAAATATTCATTGCGACTGTACTGAATTAGAACTATTGTCACTAATTCATAAGATTTATGGAGTCTCAGAATTTTACGCTTGTGAGAACTGAAATTTTGTGTCAACTAATGCAGGTTTTTAATGTTCTCTAGAAAAAAAAACTGCTGCTACAGCGGCACCACGATGGGCGCCTCTGACAAATAGTCTGTTAGAATACAAGCGTAAATGAATTGAACAAATAAAGGAAAGAAGATACTAACTATAGTTGATCGGTATCAACAGAAACAAAAAAGAAAGAAACTTGCCAGAGTAGTTCCTTTGGGATTAACATATAAAACTCTCATGTATCCTTTAGTCTGATGATACTAATAAAAAAATACGTCAAGTGCATAATCTCTCGTAGACTATAATTATCTTCTAAAATCATTGGTCTGTCTTATTAATTTCGGTATTTTGAACAGAATTTCTTTTCTTTACTGGCGCTCTATGTTTTGCTTGTCTTGTTACTCTTTACTCGTTATCTTTCTTTTTTTGCATTGCGTTTTTCTTAATTTAACATTATTATTTTTCTAACTATTGATTTAGCTCGTAAATAAGATTTTTGTACATATTCATTAAATCTACAGCAAGACTCAACACGCTATTATGTATTTAGGTAAGCTCAAAAATACTAATATTGATTATTTCCCAGAGTTTTAACTTCAACAGCGGGCACTTTTTTATGTTAATCATTTGACAACTGTGACAAATCAATGCCTAACTACCCATCATTCTTGACATATTAAATATAATTTTTTTGTATATATCTTCCTTATTGTACCTTTGAAGAAGGATGGTGAAAAAATGTATCACAAAATGGATAGAATAAAATAATGTTACTGTAATTAGCAATAACAACTACATCGTGTTTCACATTTCAATCTAACAAGGATTGTGCTAACAGCTTTTTTTAATTTATTTTGTTGTATTTATTACTTTCAGAAAGCTATGAAATATATTGCGTTTTAAGTGAGTTGATATTGATATTTGAGAGCCTATGGGTGTCAGATGTCACAGTAGTATTACATTTGATAAATGAAGACCTTTTTTTTTCTTAACTTCTAGTAAAAAAAATATTTTTAATACTGAGTAGCAAGCACATGAAACGAGATATGATGAAAAAAAAAACAAGTTTAAAGCAGGAATGATAAAAACCATAGGCAGCAATTGAATGACGGAACAAGAACATTTAAATGACGCATATCATATTTTATTACTCTTTTTTTCTCTGTTCTTCAAACTCAAGGCTGCCAATGTATGCTTTAGACGCATTTGATGACTAATATTAAATGAATTCCCTTCAAGGGTTACATATTCTTGACGTCAGTAGTATCTGCCTTATTCATTTAAATAACAAATGTTGATCATTGTGACGTTTTAGCCTGTGAATCAATATCGACTATTTATATAGTACACTTGTATCAAACTTTTCAGAAAGTACAAGATTCATTTTATTATGGCTTATTCTACATATCCATCAGCAGATCCATACCGACAAGCAATGCCTGCTCGTCGATATCAAATTCGAGAAAAAATATTTTCTCTTGGCGATAATTTTAAAATCAAAGATGAAATGGGTCAAGATGTATACAGGGTTCGATCGAAACTACTTTCATTCGGTGATAAACTCGCTCTAGAAGACATGTCTGGAAAGTAAGTAAATAAAAAAAATACAAAATCAAATTATTCGAAGCTGAGTAGTCTACGAGGCTCAATATTGTTGTACAGAGAGAAGAAATTTATTATTTGAAAAGCTTACGTATCGAAAACCAAGAAAGGAAACAAAAGTTTTTTTTCGTATTTTTCATTAGATTCATGCATATGATAGATGATAAAAGTAATGATAGGTCATGTTAAACATACTATTCTTAATGATGTATAACCATTTTACTTAAGTACCTAACTAATGGAAAAACTGTACAATAAATGAATCGATAGAAACAATGAATTTTATTTTATTTTCTCTATTTATAGTGCTTTGATTAAAGTTCAACAAGAATTATTACATCTTCATCCAACTTTCAATATATTATCGGCTCGTTCTGATGATTCTGATAGACAATTAGCAGTTGTAAAAAAGAAGTTCGCATTTCTCCATCAAAAATTTAATATTGATTCTGTTTATGGTCCATATTCATTAGAAGGTCTTGATATTTTTGCTCATGCATTTACATTGGTAAAAAATGGACGAACAGCGGCAATAGTGAGCAAAAAATTCTTTTCATTATCTGATACATATGGTGTTGAAATTGCTGGTGATGAAGATCAAGCATTCGTTTTAGCTCTTGTTATTGTTCTTGACCAAGTTTTATATGACAAAAAGAATTAAACACTGGTCACCGAAAAAAACAGTTGTTATATTCTTTTTTTGGTTTTTTCGATTGATTTTTTAAATGTATAAATCGATTTTTTCCTAAGAAAATAAAACTATCAAGAAATATTCGAAATTTAAAAGCTAGAATTGTTATAGTGTGGAGGTGAATGCGAGCGTATGAATTTTATCTTCTCCCTCACCAAATCCAGATCCCTACTGGTTTGTCATTTGTTGGGGTGGAAAAAAAGATGATCCAGCACGAAACATAATTAACGTTGATCAGCTGGTTTATCGCGAGCTTCTTTTACTTCTCTTTCGTTCGGTTATTTTTCTAATAAATAAACTTGATTCAATTTGAACTGCTCATCTTTTTTGTGTACTCAATCAATAAAACCATGCTGAGGTCTTTATCAACCTTTTTACTCTTCGATGTTTTTGAATTTCAGTAAAAATTAAGATTATTCTTTTCTTAGCCTCTGATACACATTGCCTCGAGAGTGACGTTTGACCGTATAATTTTTGCGAGTTACTAGAAAGGAAATGAATAAGTTTGTAGTGAAACTAAAGACCCTAGTGAATGTACTGAGTTCAGGGTACATGCAACACTACTCTGCTACCAGCATGCCACAGGAATCTTTAGACACTTTATGAACTTTTCGTACTACACTAGAAAATGCTGCTAAATTTTCAATCTAATACCTTTTTTTAAAAAAAGTTTTTCACAGAATGCGATAGAAACTTGGTAGGTACCTGGTAAGTACTCATATACTGAGACAATTCTCAGTAGGACACCCAACCAAGATCCTGTGGCATACTGGTTGCAGGATACCAAAAAAGATACACTGCTGACAATTGACTCTGTACACTGATATCTTGAACTCAGTGCATTCACTACAGGAGCAGTATAGTGGTTATGATAAGATTTTGCGCGCTGAATCAAATAGAATATAGAATACACAAAACGTTGACTCCACACCTACCCTCATTCTATTATATTGATGGAAATAAATTTAGCAACTTACTGAAACTACTAGAATGATTCATTCATAAACAATTATAGAATTTGACGGATTTAAAAAACTAGAAACATCAGTCGATCTAGCTTAATGTTAATATTTACCCGATGATTTCTGTAAAAATAATAATAATGATAATCGATTAGAAACTACGAAAAATCATGTAATGAATCATATTATTACCAAAATAACTACATGATAAATGATGTAGTCATAATTCAGTATGTAGCGACGATTGTGTCAAGTCTACATGGAAAAAAAAGAACTATTTTTCATTTTCAAATGACAAAGATAGTCCACTATATAGTTTGATGGATAATGACAAGTAAATGAACAAAAAGATGAGATCTTTTTCTTGCATTTCATTAAAAGTCTGTTAAGCATAGAGATCAAGCATCAAGTTAACGTTTGTAAATAGTGAACAGAGACAATTGTTCGGTTATTGTTATATTACATGACTGTTTTATTTTAAAACCTGTCATCCCTTAACGAAAAATTTAACCGAAAGAGTATAATGCTTCTCTGGTAATTTCGGTTGATCTGCACACCTTATATTTGGCATGTCATAAAACGGCAATATGTAATCTGATTATGAATAGAAGACTGTCGGGGTGAATCATTTCTTGTAGTAAAGACCAACACGAACTTGTGTACCTGGAGCGTTTGCCTATCATAGAATATGTAGGCTTTTTCTTTTTTGGCATAACCGAAGAAGCCAGGTAAAATCATGGTTTTTTTTTCTTTACTTAGTGATAAGCAATAAATTGTATTCGTTTTTTTATCATGTTCCGTACCCGCGTTCTCTTTCTAGAATATCAATAAGTAATATTTTCTCGAAACAGTTTCTTTTTCATTATTCATTCACTTCAAACCATCATGACATCGTACAATCATGCATCAATTACTGAAGCAACTATCTATGAACGTCCTAAACAGAGTGGGCCAGATTTAGTAGGTCATTGGGGTATTGTTGTCAATGTTGAAGGTCATGGTAACTATCTTATTCATAATACTCCTGGATCGGGCACGGTAGCTACACCGGCTAGCAATATGAGTTCACAGTGGACTTCTATAGTTCGGATTCCGGTTGGTAATGGAAAGACAATTCGCGGTTGCATGTTAGCATCTGGTGGTGCTCATACAAATTATGTCTCGTCAGCATTAGCAAGATACATAATGGGACAAACATGTGTTGGAACAACAGCTGCCATAGCAGAATATTTAATTTCACTATAACTTATTTGATTTGTTTTGAACGATCCTTTCAATCACACCTACTCATAAGAATCCTTGCTTTTTTATTTCACTTTATTGTATGGCAAATAAATATTTTATTGTCAAAGGGAAATAAGAAAATTTCTGGTTCGAAATTTATTTTTCAAGTGGTGTTAACTGTAAAATCATGCTTTCTACAATACTAGAAATCACAATGTCTATTCTTTGCTTGAAAGATTCTGAATATTAATAATTGTTTCTTTAATCCAATCAACAGTCACTTTTCTTTCCCGAAAAGCAGATTTTTTTTTTAAAACTTAGAGAAGAAAAAAGACATAAGTATAACGATCTATCTAGACTATTAATATCTCTTATGCCGAATTACGCTTCTTTTTTTTCTGTCAAGATTGGATAGAGCTCATCAAATTACTTATAGAAATGTTGTATTTGATATATTCAGATATGGTTGATCTTTTAGTAAAACTTAGGAAAATCAGATTACAAAACAAATGAGAAAAGCATATAAATATTAATATAAGCCAAAAGCATCATATCTCGATAGTTTCGATATTTATCCAAATATTTCTTTTGATTTTACTCAACATGTAGTTAAGAAATACGATTTTTTTTCGATATAATTGCAAAAAAACATAAATACAATTTTTTATTGTAAGATTTTGATCATCAGAATTTCAGTTCCAAAAGTTAGATGAAACACAGATCAAAGTATTCGAAAATAATAGTGAGGTATGACGATAAAAATTTGAGCAAAATTAATTTTGAGTGTTCAGCAGACTGCTAGATGGAAATTTTTTGCGCTGATTCCGAATATGATATTCATTTCAAAAATGCAAAATATTAATCTGTATTAAATAGCTTTTTTTACTATCATATCGAAAAAAAATCGCTTTTCTCAACAATGAAACAATTTTTTTCAAAAGGTATGCATCATTTTTTTTCGACTTTTCTGATTTTTTTTAACTCAATTTTCCTAAGTTTCATTACAAAAACGTGATCTGAATATTTTAAATAGAAGAGTTCTACAGGTAACACGATGAGCTCTATCCAACCATGATAATTTTTTTTCTCAAATTTCGAATAGTGGACGCCACACATGAAGCGTTTGAAACATTCACATAGAACGTTTTTCTTTAAATTATTCCTATTTACAGTCCATAGAGCACTCTTCTATCCATTTGTTTTATAAACTCTGAATTGTTAAGAGAGCTATATGACAACATAGAATTCAATTTAGATCACATGATAGAAGCTAATAATTTCGATAAACTTGAACGATTTTCATTGTCTGTCACCATTTACAGAGTGTTATGCTAAAAGACGGTCATAACTACTTACGTCTATTTATCGATAAGAGTTTATTATGACTGCAGACATAGAGCAATATAAATAACAAGAAAAACATCAATGATAACGTCATAGTTTCGGTTGCTATTTTCAAAAGTCAAACATATGGTACAATATCGCTTATCGTTTATGTGTTTCTCTATGTACAACCTTGTTGCGCCACCTTTTTCTTCGCTACTGATTGAATAAAGCTAATAATCCAATCATTTTCTTTCTTTCTTTCTTTTACACTGATAGCCCTTCGAGTTGAACTGAAGAAATGTAACATTTTTTTTTTCGTTTATTTTACAGATCGATTTCAATGTCATCTCGTGTTGAAAAATACTTATCTGAACAAAAATCAGCTAGTGTTTCATTAGCTAATGAATGGCTTGAACTTGAATCTCTCTATCAAAATCGTTTATGGCATGAATTAACATTACGTGTTAAATCATTTGTCCATCGTGAAGAACTTCAACAAGGTGATCAATTAAAAATTTTTTATGAAAATTTTCTATCAGATTTCGAACATCGTATTAATCAATTAGCATTAGTTGAAATAATTATACCTATAACACGTACATTTAAACAAGTTGATCAAGCTATTGAATTTGTTAAACAAATACGTGAAAAAGTTAAAAATAATTCTTTAGCTGTTTTACTTTGTGATATAACTATTGGTAAAGCATATTTAATAACAAAAAATTTAATTGAAACAAAAAAAATTATTGAAAATTTAACACCTAAATTTGATGAACTTGATCATTTAACAACGGTACATTCAAGATTTTATGATTTAGCATCAAATTATTATCGAGTTATGGGAAATCATAATGAATATTATCAAAATGCACTTAAATATCTTGGTAAAATTAATTAAATATTATCAACACAAAAACAAAGAAAAATACTTTTGATTCATTTAGGTTGCATTGATATTTCATTAATTCCATTAAAAGAAAAAGCTGAACGTGCATTTAATCTTGGTTTAGCTGCGTTATTAGCTGAAAATGTTTATAATTTTGGTGAAATTCTTCAACATCCTGTACTTGATGCACTTAAAAATACACGTGAACAATGGTTGATTGATTTATTACAAGCATTTAATATAGGTGATGTTGAAAAATTTGAAGCATTAAGAGCTCTTTGGCAAAGTCAACCTGATTTACGTACGGCAGAAATAATATTACAAAAAAAAATTACATTACTTTGCCTTATGGATATGATATTTGTTGCAGGTGGTACACGTGCATTAAGTTTTAATGATGTTGCTAAAAGGACAAGATTATCTATTGATCAAGTTGAATTATTAGCAATGAAAGCTTTATCATTAGATTTAATACGTGGAAGTATTGACCAAGTTGATCAAAAATTAAATATGCATTGGGTTAAGCCACGTGTTTTAGATTTAAGACAAGTTGCTACATTAAAAAAACGATTAGATCAATGGACAAATGATGTTAAACAAATGTCAACATTAGTTGAACAACAAGCTGGAGATATTCTTTCGTAGAAAAAAAAAGACTAAAAATTTGAGCAAATAAAATTCATGACATTTTTATTAGTTATAAATTTTCTTGTATTTATATAAAAGATTTGTTTTTTTTTATAGTCGTGCATTGTTAAAACGAGACGTTCGATGAATAAACAAGAAAATTTAGTTTTTAACAGTTAGGAAATGTTTGACCATTTCTTGTAAAACTCAACATACTTCATCACTTACATACTTTCAAGAAAATTTATGAGTAAATGAAATAACACTCGAAAATGCTTATTATTTATCTATGTGACCATGTCACATCAGATGCGCGCACATAATACTCCTCACATAAATATGCGTTACGTCAGAGACGCATGAGTGAACGTACACGTACTTGTGAGCATGGGCTGACATGGGTGATTATATATTGATAATATATAAGATATGGGCCAATAATCTAGCTTGAGGCACACCATAGATTTGACATACACAGATCAATTTGAATGCTTTGTAAAAGACTTTTTTTTTGTAATTGAATATAGAATTTATGTGTCAACAAACCAAAGTCATAGTATATAATGAGTCGAACTGAAATGAAGTTTTTTTGTTTCTTCATTGGAAAATTCTCTTTCTGATTTTTGAAATACAGATCAAAAGGGACTGAATTAGAGAAGGAATTATCTTGTGGAATTAAATTTTCAGCGGAACACTAATTGAATAACAGGAAAAGAAGATAATATGCGACAAAATCATTGTCTTTGTTTTGGACACTTCGATACATTTTGAAGTCTTCGTTCTGTGTTCATTTGATCGAGTACTTTTTGCTCTACACAACTGTTCCCTTTCGTTTTCAAACAACTTTTTCTTGTTTTATTCTCGCATTTATCTCGCTACCGATCAGCATAAAGCATGACACTGTGCATTCGAAGCCTTTTTCGAGTTCAAACAATGATTGTTTGTATTCCACATCGACGATTGATTACCTTCACTTAACGAAGTTTACTTTCAGCATTTATTCTCGTGTCACATTAGATGTAGTGTGATCCTGTCGATTAGAGCTCGGCGGTTTCGAAAAAAATGGAAACGGAACTTTTTCAGGGCCGCTAGAGTTATTGTTACATAGCGTGTTTTGAACAAAATGGTTTTTCAATAAATATCTAGTTCTTATAACACCAGGAATGCAACAACCTAAATTGTTCAAAGAGTGTTCGTATCCTGTTGGTAATTTAACGGTTCCAACCGGTTCCAGGTAACTTTTCGGGAACCGCCGAACTCAACTGTCGATCATTCATGTCATTGCTTATCACGACATTTACGCAACTTATATGTAGCTTCGATCATTAGAGATTTTAATACTCTGAAAGGCTTCAAAATGTTCTAGAAATAGCTTTACATTCGTCTTTTCCCACTTCCTCCATTAGATGATGTAAATGAAAATTTCACACGCATGTGCCACGTGCCGTTCCGTTCCTCCCTCTCCTGTCGAACTCCGTCACTGTTTCCACGTACTGTTTCTCAGTCACTTACAAAAATTCAAAATATGCGCAATCGTAAAATCAAGTTAGATTCCTCGGGCAATTTCTTTGTTTTCTTTCGCCTACCAAGCGTGGTCGCTAGCATAATACAGATCTTAGAGAGAACGAGTACTGGTACTTGATAGAAATTACACTTAGGGTACAAAAAGGAAACAGTAAACATCACAGCCACGTTTAAGCGAAATGCAATATATTAGAGGACAAGATTGCTAGACATTTTTGGTATTTTGCGTCCCCTTCGTGACATAAAAAACCGTCTGTATGGGTAAGGAGTATGTCTGTTAGAGAAAGGGTAAGCAGACAATTTTCTAATATAAACTTGCGCTCTCAATATGGTACGGTGAATTTCACAGAATTAGTATGGAGTTATTGTGGCACAACATTCTTTCATTTTAGTACTGTTTATTAAGACATGATATTGAAAATATGAGTATGAGACGGAACACAGACGCGTATTACAGTTCAACATACAAGAAATAAACTAGGAAAAAAGATTGCTTGTGTGTGAATCTGAATGACGATAATGGTTTCGCTCGTAGCATGTTCAGCAATGAACATAAATACTTGTTAATTTAACATTGAAAAGAGATAACCAAAAAGGAAAATTGAGACAGAGAAAAAGCATGACAGCGATGGTCAAAGGCATCGTTCTCTATTAAAAAAAGGAAAAAATAGATCACAATTTTGGCTAACGGGCAAGTTCACATATTCTATGTGAATGTAGTCATGGGCAAAATAATCCACACCCATATCCTTGTCTTGTTCATCCTGTCTACAGAAACGGTAAGGCTCTTTAGCAATCTTTATTGAAGAAATGTCAAGTGCGCATGCAAAGTCTATTTTCAATAGTGACGGCGACGCTCTTCGGCTCGCCGTTCCTCAGCTCTTCGTTCGTCAGCCCGTCGTTCCTCGGCTCGACGTTCTTCAGCCCGTCGCTCTTCAGCTCGTCGTTCTTCAGCTCGTCGTTGCTCGGCTCGGCGCTCTTCAGCTCGTCGATCTTCTTGGTGTCTTTCTTGAAGTCGTCTGTCTTGTAATCGTTTCTCCTCGAGACGTCTGTCTTGCAATCGTCTCTCCTCGAGACGTCTGTCTTGTAATCGTTTCTCCTCGAGACGTCTGTCTTGTAATCGTCTCTCCTCGAGACGTCTGTCTTGAAGCCGTCTGTCTTGAAGTCGTCTGTCTTGTAATCGTCTCTCCTCGAGACGTCTGTCTTGAAGTCGACTTTCTTCCAATCGTCTCTCCTCCTCTTCTTGGCGTTCTTTCTCTCTCTCTTCGTCGTCTATTTTCATTTGTTGCAATTGTCTTTCTAATAGCAAGCTATAATACGAGCTATTCGCGTATTCTTGCTGCTCTCGAACCTGTTGTTGTCTGAGTGCGGCTTGCGCTGCAGCTAATGACAATCCAGTAACACGGTCTTTTGTTTGTCCATAGAAGGGTGAATCAGGATTACTTAGCGAATTTGCAGCTCGCTGAATCATCAGTTTCCTATTCAATTCTATCTTAAGTGGATTGGGTGCTAACTTGAGTTGATGATTTTGTGCAGTAGCAGCTGGAAAACATGCTTCACACACATCGAAGTCAGGACAATTGATACATTTGTAACGGCGGCCTGTGAAGTTGGCTTGCAAACAACAGTCACATGTCACACCAACATTTTTGTGAACCCACGCACATTTACCTTGGTCTCCTCTAATAGGTAGGAATCGATGCGATGGCAAATGTTTGTTTTTTGTACGTGGTAAACAGGCCGGGCAAACAATATAGTTATCACATGACAAACATTTATAATACAGTTGCCGTTCCCAATCGATCACAGTGTAGCACAAATCACAAAATGCGAGCAATGTATACCCGTAATTATCGTATTGAAAGGTCGTCATTTCCTTGCAGATGTTCTAAAATAGTATTATTTCTATATTCAGTTCAATATCTATACATAAGTACAATCTTTAATAAGGTTTGTCACGATTGCTCATGTTGAAATATAATTGACTTGGTATGAAATTTTCAAAAAAAAATTGCAGCTAAATAGAGATCAGTTTATTGATGTGAACATCTCAATTGAATCTTAAGAGAAGTTGTTAGTTAACCATGACACTTGCTCCCGCTACAAGAAATATTGTTTCTCGGTGAAATCGTTTGCTAAAATAGTGACACACACTCCTAATTTTCACTATTTGCTTTTTCAAGAGTCCTCAAAACAGAGCCTTTTATCAAGCTGACTACACTCAAATTTCCAGCCGGCGTTTTCCAAAAAATATTCTTGAAACAGATTAAACTCCGTTTCCTTCGCTAACTTTGTGAAACGCAAATAATTGTTCACATGATAGATGTAGAATTGACCTGATTTTTCAGGCCTGCTTCGATCTGATCAGTGAGGATATGATGGTATTGAAAAATACCAGACCTTTCACTGTGCGTTGAAATTGTTTTGTAACAGCACTTGCGAAAATGTTCACGTATTTTAACTCGCAGCAATCGTTGAATTTGCACGATGATGGTAGCTATGCAGGTTTTCAAAGTATGTGGAAAGTTAATTTGTTTGTGTTTGATGCGTTGTGCAAAATATGAGTCGAAGATATTTCTTGTTCACTTGCTGAATAGCGTATTGCTTATATATATATATATAACTCGAACGTGATTTCTTACCTGTCATATGTGTCACTTATTGTGTCGTTGTTTTTTTTCCAACTGAAGGTAAGTTGGAAAGAGAAGTAATTATTATTGATTATTCTCAACTATGACTAACAGCTCTTTATCTACTTGAATCGCTGCGTTTCAATGTCGATTCGAATTGAATTAGTTTCATCGATTTCCATCGTTTGCTCATTTCGTGTTCGTTCAAATGACACTAACTGACTCATTATTCTTTGTAAAAGAAGTCCGCGTGCATGGTCATCGTTGCTTGATCGTAAATTTATCCTGCCCCAAATTTTTGATATAGATATTTCGGAAATCCTACGTAGTTTGTGTAGTTCAAAAGGATCAACACTGATTTGCCAAGTGTTTTGAACTTTCAATTTTTAGAATTTCGGACACTATTATTAAATTTTTGCACGCGAAATTGTACTTTTACTATGAAAACTGCGCAATGAATCAGTTGGCAATTACTCAACAAATGTAATTGCATTAATGCGCTTATTTTTTTCTGGTTGTGTACATGCTTCGCCAGTATTGCATACGAAACAATGAAGCGTAACGAGCAGCAAAAAATGCAAGAACGATCAAAAAAATAATCAAATGTTTAGTAAACCCTTCACAGAATAGAACCTCACTGGACTTCTAATTTGTGTTGAAAATGATAAGTTTGCAAATGGACTTCTATTGCGTTCAACTTTTTTCGTGTTGCAAAGAGATTTATAGAAGTTTGAAAGCCATCATAGTTATGGTTTCATTCATTCTCATAACTTCATTTATTTGCATAAATCTATGTCTTCATTACAAGAAAATTCAAGATAATTTCATCAAGAAGAATACTACAAGTTTCACATTTTTATTATCAAACAACAACGACATAACATAACACAAGGAATAATAGAAATAATAAAAGAGATATTTTCTCAAAAACGAAAATGATGTACTTTGTTTCAAAACTATCATCGGGTTTTTTATATTACTCTCATTGACTTCTTTTACTGAACTGATTTCATCTTCAATATCATTTCCGAAATTTACAGATTTCTAACCAAAGGAATAACCTGACATAGATTTGATCATCACTATACTATTATTAATCCACGTGTAGTCGAAATCTCTAAAGCTTTGAGAAAAATTAGCACTTTTCAGAGTTCTTTTCGAGTTGCACCTGTTAAACAAGTACATGATATTCTTTGCTATGAAGAAGTAAGGTTAATGGAAGATCTCAGATCATTAGCTTCGATCCATTCTTCAGTAGCATCATGATAATGTGTTATATTAACACTGAAAACAGGTACGTCAAAAATTTGAATGCGTTGTGTAATTCCACCAAGTATTATTCCTAAAATCACACCTTTCTTTTTGAATAAAGGTTTTACATCTTCGTCAAAATTACAACTACAAAAATCTGTAGGAATCATTTTCGAACAATCATCTCTCGCTTTACCTAGCCAATATTCAGTATAATTTTTCATGATAGACCAATTTATCAAAGCACTAGAGGTGAAATGAATTCTGACGAATGGATCATATTCTGTTTTTTTCTTTTTCGGATATTCATCCTTTTTCTTTAAATATTAAAGCTGGTCGAACTCGACTATTATCATTTTCAAAAATACTGAATATCAAAGTACAAAATCTTTTGTTATTCAAATGGCCTTCGATGTCATTTGGAATGTTCAGATAATTTATGCTGGTTTCACTTCGATCGCTTCACAAAGCAAGTGGACTTTCGTCCACATTGTACATGACCTATTCCATGGGATTTCTCTCAACAAAATACATGTGTCTTTTGAATCGACTGAAAGGTATCCTATCGTGTAGAGGTCAATGAGTTATATGAACAATAAAAATATTACTTCATTTGATGATTTCTTTGGAGAGATATAGACCATACACATTTAGCTGAGAATTAAGAAAACTCAAAAAGTGGAAAATCTACCAAACTTTGTCGTCTTGACTTCTTAAAGACTATATGAAGAAAAATTGATTCCAAATATATATTCTTATTCAGCAAGAGTTGGTGCATTCGAACATATATCATTCGTTATTTTTCATTGATCCAATGAAGTTTTTTCGTGAATAATATTGGCAGTGGGTGGTAAAACGATAGTGCTCAAAGTCAGTTCGATGCAATTCTGTTAACATGAATTCCACAATTTGGTAGATTAGTGAGTTTTCTAGAGTGAATTTCCCTCTATCAAACCATATATTTGAAATTTTATTCCAACTCGAAATAATCGAATTATTCGCCTAAATTTTCTTTTTCGTCTCATAATCTACAATATAAATCTTGAAATTTCGAGATTTTGCCGAGCAATTATTTTTCGATAGATGACTGAATACAATCATCAAAAACAATTATCTAGCATTGCAAAATATCTTTTAGAATCTTAATTAGCACTTAAAAGCCTATGGGTAAATGGACTCCTTGTATAATTAGAATACATATAATGAATTGAAAAACATATCATAATAATGAAAACTTTCACAAACATTGCTAGTGAGAAAAGTTCATATTTATCATTAATCAATTATGTATTGATATATTACAGTGCTTATTAAAATCTAATTTTATTCATTTATCAGAATCGCGTACGCTTTCTCAAGACAAATATAGTATAGGCTTATATGCTCAGTTTTTTTATCATTTCATATTTCCTCTANAGACGACAAAGTTTGGTAGATTTTCCACTTTTTGAGTTTTCTTAATTCTCAGCTAAATGTGTATGGTCTATATCTCTCCAAAGAAATCATCAAATGAAGTAATATTTTTATTGTTCATATAACTCATTGACCTCTAAACGATAGGATACCTTTCAGTCGATTCAATAGACACATGTATTTTTTTGAGAGAAATCCCATGGAATAAGTCACATGTTTCTGTCAAGAAATGATCCTGGTACACTTAAATTTAACACCCAAGCAGTACTTTTTTGCAATAGTTAAAAATTAGTAACTTAATTATGAGGTTTCGAAAGTTTAAGCTTTTCTTGTTGTTTTTTGGCTTTTGCAAGGGTAAGGTATGTCTTTTTAGAAAACGACAAAGTCACATTTGCGATGGATGTGTTTGTATCTTTTGGGAAAGACATATTTTTTCAGCTTGACATACCAAGTTTTAAACGTAAATTTTTCTATCTTTATTTCAATTGATGCTATTGATTTTTCATCGTTAAGACTTGTACATTTTGATATCAACTATTCCCACAGCTGTTTCTGTCATAACAGTGTTATCGACTAATTTGAGAAATACTTTTACATTTTTCACATTCTTGATAACGTTGAGTGTTTTTGAACAGCCCAAGAACGACGTTTTAAAGACACATCTTCAATGGATTGGCTGTTGTCGTAATAAGATTTTGTTACTTGAGTTGAATTAGTTGATGTATAAGAAATGGAAAATGTTGAAATATCAATTTGAGCTTGTTGCTGTTCATTATCTTCTTCGTTCTTTTGTAACTCGTTGGTAATATCCGAGATATCTATCACATCATCAAGCACTTGAATTACATTTTCAATGACTTCTTCGTCTGAACTAATTAGAGAATTAAACTCACTATCATTTGCTTCAATTAAAGAAAATAATGTTAATAAGTGATTTTCTTTCATTCCAGTTGAGTTTTTTTTATTAATAATTTATATGATTTAAAAT